GGAGCCCCTAGTAACGTCCTTGTGCCTAGTAGCGATGCCAGGAGCCCCTAGTAACGTCCTTGTGCCTAGTAGGGGAGTGTAGCATCGATCCAAAATCGCCTTTCGCCACACGTGAACGCGCACCTGAGGAACATGCAGGCGGTGACCTTGGACCAGATCAAGTCTCGGATCACCTTGCTGGAAGCCACCTTCCGGACGGCGCCCAAAGATCCTCTGACGAAAGGAAGGATGAATTCCACGGATCAAGAAAAGAGATGCTGAGTTTTGTGATATTTTCTTGCTATTAAGTTGGAGGCCATCGCTGTTTTTGTTATTTGTTGACCTGAACCAAATGGCCGAAGATGTGCTTTGAGTGCTTATCTTCAGTTCGGTCAAATGGGGATGTCCAACATGTCGTCCGGGTGAGATGAGTCAATCAGCATGAAGAGTCATTTGGTTCCTTCTTGCGCTCAGAGTGGTTCTTGGCGATTCGATTGGCTGAGGAAACTTTCTGAGCACCTCGGTTGGCACTGGACCTCGCGTCGAACACATGGCACTGGCACAGCTGTGGTGCCAAAGTGCAGCCTTGAAGAGTTGGTCGATGCTGGAGGAAAGAAACCCAAACACAAGCGATGCCAGGAGCCCCTAGTAGCTTCTTGTTACTAGTGCAAGCCCAACTCCTTTGAGATTTGTTTGTGCAAGAGATGCGCTGACCAACACCTGAACTCTTGCTGTGCGAAGCGGTTCTGGTCCAAGCACAAACTTTCAGATCCCAGCAGTCTACTGTCAAGTGTCAACTCTTTTGGTTCAGATTAGTTGAACGCGCTGGTGTGGATTGGAGCAAACTAAGCACGAAGAATCAGCCCACTCTGTTTTCCAGAGAAAAGAAAATCGTTACGCAAGTGCCAAGATTTCTTGGCAATGCAACAGGAGCACAACACAAACATTGTGGGTGAGGCCTCTCACAGCAAGCTCAGGAGCTAATGATTTCTTCACCACATGGCCAGTCAATGAAGCTGGGATTGCCGTCGCCAAAGACAACGAAGTAATTTTGCATTTAGCTCTATGGAAAGCCCCCGCTCAATTCCTTTCACCTCACCCCATGTTTGCTCATGGTGGAGAGCCCATGAATTGAGAGGAAGATGAGGGTGTAGGGGAGACACCAAGCGAGCCCAAATTTTGAGCCCCTAACACCTTCGTTTCTTCAAGATAAATGCATTCACCGTGTATCTTCTAAGCATCAATGACTGATCCGTGTGCGTGTGTGACTGGTGGCCTTTTTTCGGCCCAAGAGCATCCGAACGAATCTAAACCCGTTGCCTCCTCACTGTCCCGCCAAATGGCGGAAGACTGATCGCGGTTGGAGGGACAGCAAGCTGGAGAAAAGCCACCGATGAAGAATTCTAGGCCTTTGTGCCCATGATTGAAACTTAGAAGCACCTCTTTCTCAAACTTGAGTTGGTCTTAGCATTTGCCATTTCTACACAGCAAGGCCTTTGTGTCAGAGACGTTGATTCTAACCCCAACGTCAAGGGAGTCCGAAGCTCCTTCAACTCACACAGATGGAGGATAAATTGAAGCCTATTTGTCGGGAAACTAAATTGAGTTAGACTCGGGAATATGTCTTTGGGGCTGGCAAGGGTTGATAATCTCAAGATATATATATATACCTGTGGTGGATTCATGTACAACACTCTGGCAGGAACACTCTTATAGGATAGTGTTGTGGCACATCCTTGTGGGACATTTTCGCGAGACACGTGTAAAACACTTTGGCGTGACAATCTTTATTGGGCAATCTTGCTTGACATTTGTAAGACAGCTGTGAGGATGCTCTTGTCATGGGACACTGTAGGGCCCTTTTTGTGGAACAGTCTTGTAGGGCGCTCTTCTGCAAAACCACCACTTGTTCCGCTCAATTACGAAAGCCAGCCTTCGTAGAAGGCGCCAGCGGAGTTGTGTTTGGCGAACGAAGTGAGTAGTTAGGGGGTCTGGGGGGGTGGCCCGCAAAAGGTACACGTAAACTCGGCACATGCTAGGGGAGGAGGGTGCGTCGAGGGAAGGTATTTTGAGGTTGTGTTGGAGGTGATTTTTGAGGGGTGGTGATGCAAGAAATGCAATTTGCATCATTTGCATCATCTGAATGGAAAGGTGTAGTTGGCACCTTGCCAGCCGGGTATAGAGACCCAGGGTAGCTATAGTGTAGCTGCCAGGTATAGCTTCAAGTTCCCTTTCCGTCAACCGCTCGATAACCTCTACACACGGACAGCAATCCACAGCTTTGAAGCCTCATGCGCGCGATACCTGGGAACAGAATTGTAGCTGCCGTGGGTCCGTATGAATGCTATGTTGCTACACCTCTTACACACCTAAACCAGTTCAAAGCACGAATGAGCCTTCATAGCTGTGGCTTGCTGTGCATGTGTGGCTCGAGAAAGATATACGTAAATCCGGGGGGTGATGCTTTGATGCTTTTGGAGCGGGTGGTGATGCACTCGTTAATTATACCCTTCAATAGGAATTCGAATAGTTGAATGTGGGTGGGTTTATTTCTATGGGAACAAAATGTTTCTGCTTTCGAAATTTAAGGTGGCTTGGGGTTAGGCGCTTGTTGTTTTAAAACCATTGTTTAGGCTAATGAAGAGCAGATTTAAACAAGGATATCTGGATAAGGCCGCTCTTAAAAAGATTGGTTATAACAAGGTCGATGGGGGGGATGTGAGCGAATGTTTATCGAGCTAAACGTAAGTCGTTGTTGGGTTCACGCGCGTATTTTTTTATGAAGCTAAGTGTAAGGTGACTTGGGACTTGGGATTATCGTTTAGGCTACTTCAAAGCTGACTTGTGCTTGGCGAACGACGTTAGTAGGTCCCGAGAAAGGTATACGTAAATTGTTGGAGCTATTTTAGTGATTTTGGAACGGTTGGGAATGTAAGAGTGTATTTTTTGCTTTTGTATGGCTATTGTATGTGGGTAGAACGTAAGTTGCTGCGCGAGTTTATTTGATTGTTTCGACGTATAATTATCGAGAAGGGAATGTTGGTTTTCGTTTTGTAACTTCTTAGGTAACGATACGCGGTATTTACGAATTATATAATGTATTTTTAATAGAGGTTGAGTAAAATCCGTATGATACCGATATATAGAATAAATATAAATGTTTTTTATTTTATATTAATATTGCAAAGAAGGTTATAATGTTTATTAATGTTTGTTGTGCTATATAATGGCTTATTTGAAGTAGTTTTTAGAAGTTTTTTTTCGAAATATATTTGGATTGTAAATTGTTCCGTGGGTCCGAAAATATGTTGTTGTAATTTTTTTCGTATAAACCTTCGTGTTTTTTTTCGAATAAAATAATTGTTTTATATAATAATATTATATAAATGTTCGAAATATTTTAATTTTTATAAACATAATAAATCGGATTTTTTTTTTTTTTTTGACTTTAAAATTCGAAAGAATATTATGGTATTTTATTTATATTATTATGAAGAAATGATTTTTCCGGATATATTAGTTTAAGCCTTTTGTATTATTTATGGAGGTTTAAATTAAAGATGATTTAAGGCAAAAAGTTAGAAATATCGCTAATTATATTTATTTCTAGAATTTAATATTATACGATTTATTTGACGTTATTATTTATTTTTAATAAATTCCGTAGAAATCTTATATTTATTATTGCATAAAAGCCATTTACAAATCCGGCCTTTTTTTAGTAGGAATTTGATTAGGCATTAGAAATCCGTTTAGGAAAAGTCGATATAATTAATAAGATTTTATATTTAGATTAATGCTTTTGAAAATAATATATATATATAATGATTTCTTTCTCTTCTTTGTATTTATTCGAATTATTTTTAGCTTATCTTTTAGTTATGTTACGGTTATAATTGTCGAATTAATGTCTTGAGTTATTGATAATATAGACGTATATGTCGTTTTTAAATAACTTATTTCTTAGGTTATTATAATAATGGATTTTTATGATAATTATAACTTGAAAAAAATTTATAATTTCCTTATAAAATTGATTATTTAGCGATATATGGTAGATATGACGGAATATATAGTCCGTTAGTAGTTACGAAAATGCATTTAGCTTTCTCCTTTATTATTTCCTTATTTCGTGAAGTAATGATTTAAAAAAACAGGGCGATTATAACTTCGTTATACTTACGGACGTGAATAAAGTCTTCTTTCTTACGATTATCTTGGTCTTATAGTTCCCCATTTGATGGAAGGTCTTATTTAGGAGGAAGTGTGTTTAAACTTCCTTATAGGCTTGGTAATGCTATACCCGAGCTTCTAAAACTATTACCTCTTCTAAACGTGTTAGACACTCTGGAAACTATTATACTCCTTGGCGTATTTTAAGTGTTTCCTGTCTGGAGGATTTCTACTTGTAGGTGTAGCGAGCTTTGAGTGGTTGGTCTCGTCATTGCAAGGCTCTATTCAAAGCTCTCAATGGTGGATGTGGTTGTCGATCTAAAGGACCTAGTCAGTTGTATGTATGACGATGGTGTATGACGATGATCCGGAATATATCAAAATTTTATTTGGCGATTTTTTTTTCTCGAGGTGGCGAAAGCCATTTGTTTTGGCGAAAGATCTTTGGCGAAAGAATGAATCTGTTCTTTTTGTGTGCAAGTTTATTTGCTTTCTAAACAGCTGGTGACAGTGATCTAAGCTAGATGAGTTTGTGGAAGTCAAATAACCTGTTGCTGCTGCGGCTGCTACTTTAACAATTAGGACTTGCTGAGGCCGGGAGTTCAAGGCTCGTGAGATCTTGGCTTCAGACTGGAGCTTGCAGTAGGTGGCTTCTGCACGAAGTCGAGCTTGAAGGTTGTGTGATATCTCAGAAGCTCGATCTCCTTGGGCGGTTTGAATGACCAGATTGTTACGCTCCTCCAAGTTACGTCCCAGGGCCCATTGGGCAGGACTGTAGTCACCAATGCGGGCGACGCGGTTGTGAGCAGCACACATCTACCAAATCGTTTGCTCAGGACTTGTGTTCTCTACTTCTTGCGGAGGTGGTGACTCATCTTTTTCTTCAACTCTCCAATTATCCTCTCAACATCGCCAGTGCTCTCGTGGTGCTCGGCCGGAACGAAGCTCAGCTCAATGCCACGAAAATGGCAAAAATCCTCCACCATTTTACCTCGAAACGATCCTTCCAAGTCGTAGCGGATCCGCTCAAGCAGGCCAAAGTATTGGCCCCAGCAGCGCTGTAAGGTGTCAATCACCTGGACGGAGGTGATGTTGACAGGTGGTATATCACCAGGTGAACCACTGAAAAACCAGAGGCTTCATCCAGCATGAGGAGGAAGTGGTAGGTGAAGCCTTCATATTTGAAGTGGAAGGTATCCATCTGCAAGGTGCCCCAGAGCTGTTCTTCTTTCTCAAGTGAGGCCTTCACGGCCGGAACAGCCATCTGACCTTCATGACATTCGGGACACTTCAGCTCGTTGGCAACTGCTAGGAGGTGTTTGTCAGCTCCTCGTGGCCAGGTTGCGGACCAACGCTCTGTTGTTGGGATGACCGCAAAGTCGATGGAGTTTGAGGGCAGTGGCAATCAGCCAATTCAGCTCTTGCTCTGTCAGGGTCTTCAGATCCTCCTTGTTGAAGCGGACCTCAGTCGTTCCAAAAGCTGCTGCCTCATGAAATCCTCGTTCAAGGTTGGAGCAAACAGCGCGACAAAGCTTTGGAGTGTAAAGAGCTGTCTGTCGGGCAACAGTGCCTCCAAGAGCTGGAATGTGAGAGTGGATTCCATCACACTTCCTGGCCAAAGGCGTCAGCCAGCCAGGGCGAGAGCAGCGAATCCTCCATGGTTTCTTGATCAAGCCATCTTTGGTGTAAAGTCCAAACATGCATCCATCTAGGTGGATCTCTTCGAAGCGATGGCCAGCCAGAGCTGTGACGTGGCCACTCTTGGAAGATCTCAGCCTCTCTCTTCGAGCGCTTCCTCATGACCGACCAGACCTGGCGGATCAAGTACGACGCCAACTTTGTCTCATCCAAGAAGCGCAAGCAGCAGGGACTACTTGACGCGGATCATGGAGATGGCCCTGAACCTGACCTGAACCCGGACGAAAATTTTCCCACCATGATGGCAAGACTCAATTCCTCCTCCAGCCAAACTTTTAGGGGCATGTCAGTGGTGTCACCTTTACGTTTAAATGCTGTTTGGTTGAGTGATGCTTGTTCGTTTGTGGATGGTCTTGAGCCTCATGAGCATGAACCGAATGCGGCCCAAGGGACCCCTTTTGCCAACGGCTCCTTTGTGAGCCTTTGAGCTTGGGGCTCTCTGCGGTGCCGCCATAGGTAGCACCACCTGGCCTACAAAAGGCCCTCCACGACTTCAAGTCTGAGAAAAAGAGGCGCTTCAAGTGCCTAGTGGGGGCTGCTTGGCCGGTTTTCGACCCTCACCTCCGTTGTTAGTTGTTCCCACGACACAAGATGTAATTGGCTTGACGGAAGACTCGGCAGCCACTGTTCTTGGACAAACACCTTTGCTCAAATATGACTGGAGTGAGAAGTTATAAGACCTTGCAACCAGGTAAACCAGCACAAGAATGGAAACACATCAAAGAACGAGCTTTGTTTCCACTGCACATGAACTTCTTTCTGGGCACCACCACGCTTTGGAAGAAAACATGATCACTTCAATGGGTCTATGAGCCACCAAAAAACAAAAAGTGACCTTTTGGATCAATGCCTTGGTGCTCCTGCTAATCATGATCGGCAAAACTATTTGATTGGCATGCTAAAAATATCTAATCTATAATATTTGGGGCAAACAGATGAAGGATATCGCATGCCAAACAAACCGCACAAATTTGGAGGAACAACCAATTCATGAAATTTCGAAAGGAAAAGATTGCACTTAACCAACAAAATTAACAACCTGCACCCACAGTCCTGCCTCAAGTTCGGTAATCCGGAGTCCTGATTGGATCTCCAGTTGGAAGGTCGTCGTGTTGGAGGCACCCTTCAGATAGATGCGACGTGCAGAAAATCTTCGCCTTGATGCACAAAAATGGCCAGGTCAAATACAAGATCAAATGCAATTGGCGATTGCACACTCAACACGACTCCAAGAAAGCTAAAATGGCTGCACTTCCTGTGAGCCCAAAAAGAAACAGCTCAAGAAAAAGGGGCAAGAACAAGGTGATTGAAAGCAGACACTGTTGCCCATTTGTAAAGCCTTCATTCCGGCAAAGGTCAAAGAACTTGACGAAGAGAAGAATATGGATGCAAAACATGAATCTGAAGCATCACTTGTGTTTCCTTACAGATTGGCTTTCAACTTGGTGCATTGGAGCTGGAAATTGCCGTGAGTACCATGCGGCCAATGAAACGACTGACAAAAAACATGCACCTTTTCAGATGAAATCCAAACAGAAAGAGAAGCTTCCAAGAGGACAACGATCAGAAGGCCTTGAGCTCTTGTGTGTCGAGACAAGCTCGCTTGCTGCAATGGAAAAGTCATTTCAAAATTCCCCCAACTTGAGCGAGCTTCCATTGTCCGAGACTTGTGCAGGTCCCAGTATGTTTGGACAAAGTTCTTCTGGGTGCTTGCACAAAAAGGAGATTTGGGATTTGGTTTTCTGCCGGCTTGAGTGGATTGACTTTCTTTGATGGATCCGGCCAACTTCAGAGGTCCCCGTGGCCGGGAATTCAAATTGATAAAAGTCACAATTGATTGTACGGGACGAGGGTGTAGGAGTTTGATTGTTAAAGAATCGTTATATAATGGAAATGACCGGTATATATTTTATTTTGTATATATTCAGGTGGAAATTACATTTTGTCCTTTCATCTTGGTTGGATAAACGCACGAAGGTCCTGGATGTTTTTTCCAATTTGGGCAATTAATATTGTATCCTTAGCGAATTTAATATTTAAAAAGGGAACCTGGACATTCGTGGAATAAAATTGCTTGCAATAGAATGAATAAAAATGAAAATAATAAACATCCTTGACGAAATACATAACGCTGCGGATCTCTATTTGAAAGTGACTTATCCATGAGAACTTCGCACAAAGGATCGCTTATTAGATTTGAAATAACCCGGGTGGTGATCAGGACCTAGCAATCGACGAAAGCCCTGTTGTAGTCGGTCGAATCTTGTTAAAAGCTTCCAATTTCGGAAAGAAGGCAGAGGATTTGATGCCGTTTGGGTCCTGCGTACCAAGAAGGTGGTTTCTGTTGGGTGTGCTCCTACCCTTTCTAAATTCAAATTGTAATTTATGTATGATTCGTCGAGACCGGCAAACAGACGGTTTGCAATGATTTTCGCGTGTAAATGAAAACATGTTTGCAACAGGCTGAATGCAATTTTCATGAAATGGCAGTTCATGGGGCTTGTCCAGACTTTAGGAAGCCCCGTTGTGGGACCTATTATTAAAATATATAGGGGACAATAAAATTTCCAGGCCTGACTAGAATTCCGTTGTTTTTTTTCACGCGTATTATCGCGAGATGCATCCGACCTTCTTTTAAACATCGTGTGGGGCATTTCCTTCGGCGCTAGGTGGTCTGCTGCTGCTGCTGCTCTGGGCTGCTGCTTCTGCTGCTGCTGCTCCTTTGTGGTTTGCTGCGGCTGCTTGTTGGTGGACTGCAGATGCTTGGTGTGCTGCAGCTGCTTGGTGGTTCCGCTCACCGCGCGCAGGGGGGAATCGAAATTCCGGGTGGCCCTAATATTGATTTTAATATAATTTTTTGAGGTTTCCTCAACTTGCTAAAGCAAGAGCAACTCCAGCTAGCCAAGGCCAGCTTTCGTCATCAGAGCCTGAGTTCACAAACAGGCCTTGCTTGAGAGTTATCCTGAAGCAGTCACGAATAGAAGGTCCTGGCTCTGGCGGACAAGCGTTTGGGCACCCGCCAGACACTTGGCAGCTTGGGTGTATTTGTTATTGGAGCAGGAATTGATATATAGATATATTTGTATTCTTTTTGTACTATATGGTCTATTTTTGAATTTCTTGAAGCAATAAAGAATATTCCGCATATTCTTAGAAAATTTCCTCTGTTATTTCATTGTACTTGGAAAATTTCCATCATTTGGAAAATTATGTTTTTGGATTTCATTCAAGAACAAAAAATCCATAGTCAATTTTCTACGACATTTCAATTTTCTGCGATATTCAATAATTTATCTTCGGGAGCAGAAAAACAAATCCGATAAACCAAGGCCGGAAAATTCGCCGTTTAATTATCAAAATTCGGAAAAACTTCAAAAAACTTATTCGCATTTGAAAACATAACAAGTTTTCAAAAAAAAGTTTCCCCAATCTTTTATATAACTTAATTACATTCTATTTAACTCAAAAAACGCAACACAAACAAAGTAATACTTTCCACCACAAATATGTACATTCTATAACTAATATTCCCATTATATACAAAACCATATAAAAAAGAATTAATAGATTTATTTTACATCAATTTAATTTTCAATATATATTTTAAATAATCAATTGCCCTATAAAATATAATCGTTTCCTTCGATTATACCAATTAAACAATCCTTTCAAGACGAATATATATAAATACAAAATACTAAAAAATATTTAAATAATAACATTTTGAATATAATATATATCGCCAACGAAAAAACCGACAATCGTCCGCACTCAAAACAAAAAATAAACACAAAACCGTAAATACAGATATATTTCATGCATTCATTCATTCACGACCGGCGGAGCGAATCCGCCCGTGTTGGGCGAGCAATCGACAGTGGATTGTCGATCGGCGGTTTCGAGGACAGCTAGCCCGGGCGGCTCTGGCATCATTCAAGCGCGAAAAAGGGGCACGAACGGGTTTGGACGGGTGACCACTGTACGGTAAGCATCTGTCAAGTTGCCTGTTCGTGTCAGTCAAACAACACAAATGTTTTCATCCATAGCTGTCAAGTGTGGGACAGAGATGGGTACCTGATTATCATCACACAGAAATCTGCCGCCCCCAGTGCGGAGGCGGCATTGATAGTGGCCTGTGGTTGGTTCATGACCTCGGTGCAATGAAATTGCAACTACCTGATGCTCAATCCATGTGACCGTCCTTCCGGAGGAATGCATGAAGCATGGCAGCATGATATTTTGTCGATTCCAGCTGAACGAATGCCAAGTGCTGGAAATCGGTTGATTTGCAAGCAAACTGTGCTAACGGAGCCAACTAGCCCTAAAAAGTACGGGGTTGGGTGCGCCACATGTGAACAAGTTCTTGCAGTGTGCAACCGACGGGCTTTTCTTCTCTCATGACGATTGGCGAGCAGGTCCAGCCCCAGTCCTCGATAGAGGCTTCAAAACGAGCCTCCCAGCGAGGTGCCTGCGAAGCCTTCTCGAAAAGCAGACGGTGCATAGTGAGCCTAAGCCATCCTAAGCACTGAGCCCCCATGGCATGTGAAGCGAACCAGCCATCAACAATGTTCCCAAACAGCTGGGTCAGTGAGCCACAGTGAACGGGGTCCCCGGTCCAGCAGCCTGATGAGTGGCTCCTCCCAAGTGCCAAGCATCTCCCAAGAAAAGGTGTTGTCCATACAACAAGGCCAAAGTTCACCGATCAAAGCGGTGTTCATGAAGCAATCGTTGGCATCATTGCCGAGGCTCATCTCCAACAGCGAGTCCTCATCTCTTGAGGGTCTGGGCCACCGCTTGTGCCAAGGGTGTCGGGCAATGTCGAGGGTCGAAGCCGAACTGCAATCAGCTGTGTGGGACCATTGCCTGTCAGCTTGGTCAGTAGGTCAAACAGTTCTTGGCTGGCCG